TTAACCACGGACAGTAGGACTGTAACACAGAGTGGGTTTCCTGTTAGGAGGGTTAACCTATTGTGTTAGGACATGTGTAGCTTTGTCCAATCATGAGTTGTTATGATAATGGTAAACCAATGCTGTGTATACATGTGTCACCCAGAACTGTATAAAGGTAGATACACTGTTGTAATAAAGAGCTTCTCTCCTGAAACCATGTCCTGTACCACCCCAACCCACGACAAACTTGTATTACTTTTTGTTTCATTTTTGCATGCAGGGGAATCATAGTTTAATTTGAAATGATTTCTTGTGATGATGTAGTATAATTTTGTGCCCCAAGCAAGTCCATTTAGAGCAGGTTGCTGCAGAGTTTAGCCAGCAAAGTGTGGAATAGCTCCAAAAATTGAGACTCTACCATCTCTCTGGGCAACCAGTTCAATACTGGATCATCCTCCTGATGAAAAAGTGCTCTCCTTGCTTGGAATTGCATGTGTTTCAGATTTGTTGGGATATACCATGAAAAGATGAGTGGCAACAGACTTAGTCTTGCTCCCTCTTCCCCATACCCTCTCAGTAGGTAGCTGTAGGCAGCAGTAGGATCTCCCTTCTCCGGCCTGAGCAACCCTAATTTATCTCTGTCTCCTCTGAGGAGAGAGAGTACAAGAGGGTGCTCCTGTGCCCTAACCACCATGCTGGTCCTCCATTGGATTTGCTGCTGAGATGTCTCGGCCGTACAAGCGGTGGGAAATGAGTTCTCTTCCAATTTTTGCATCTCGTAGTTTTAAGATACACTATTACAGAAAGAGGAGTAGCTGTCTTTTACTGACTTGGAAAGGACGTTAAGCTTATTCTTTTAGAAATGATAAAGGATCAGAAAAAGCAAAATTTGTACCAGAAGAGAAAAAATGGGGATGGAGAACTCTGCAAGTTGGTGCAGTAGGTAATTGGGATCAGTTTGGGTTTTAAAATCTTAATCCATAATATGCATTGTTTTTAGACATTTTCCTGTGTGGTTTTTAAAGAACTCAGTTTTCTTTATCTCTGACTCGATTTGATGAAAGCAGAGGGACAATATTTGTATAAATAGCTAAGTGACCTCCAAGAGAAAATATTGTTTCCCCGTAAAGCGTGCTTATGAGGCATTTTGGAGATCTTGCATATTGAATAAGATTTGTGTGTTGTAAAAAGAGAAAGTGTTTGGAAAACAGAATAGTGAATGAAGACTATAAACTCTGCTTATTAGGAGGGATCATAATAAATGTCATCTGTTATGCGTTCAGGTGTTGTCAATTGTAATCTGCTCTAAACCTTGCAATAGTTTTATATTGCAGTAGAAAATTGATAGAGGAATTTGTATATAACTTTACTAGTCTTGGTGTCTTCAGGATGTTACTTATGACTTGTGTAGTTTTGGAAGTAACTACAGTGCTCTGTAAAAAACATTTCAGCTGAGTACCTGATCTGACACATTTGTCAAAAGCAAAGAAGGAACCTGGTTGTGCAAAATTGTTTTTGTCATATTTGCATAACAACACCCACAAACAGGCCCTCATGTTCAAATCTAAGTGTTCTAGGCTTTGCTTATGATACAAGCTATGGGAAAAGGTATTTTTGTAAATGAGTTATCTTATTTAAAAATATCTCTCTAGATATATCATTAGTATTAGTTTTCCACTTTTGTTCGGAGTCACTCTCATTAATGCTAAAATGAATGGGCATTTATCAAATCTCATACCATAACTATAGTTATTAGCACTTTCCGAATGTAAAGTGCTTCCCTCCACCAGTTTGATTTTGACTTCAACTTTTTAAGTGTTTGTCGTCTGGTGTGAGGTGGATTTATGGGAGCGCAGTAGTTTTAGTGCCTTTTGGCTGGGTGTTTCTGATGACATCACTATGATCTAGACACAGCGTGTGACTCTAGTTGGTTCCAGTGTTAAATAGTTTCATAATTATGCTAGTTTTGGCAGTTTCCTTGGAACTTTCCCCATCTCTTTAATGAACATGTTTTACTTCTGGGCTTATGAGACAGCCACATGTTTGAGAAATTAATAGCGTGCTCTTAAAGTTAACATTGAGCAGAGGCGTGCAGATACAGAAAGCTTTTGGATATATGTGTACTTAGGAATGCAACTTTTATAAGTTCATGGCCACTCTTATCATCTTCCAGTAATTGAAGAATATATTTGGCTTACAAAGTATCTGTAACTGTTGCAAAAAATGGTGTGTGTTCAAGCTCAAAAAAACCCCAAAACAACCCATGCAGCTCTGAAATATTTTTGATAATTGTTTAATGTAAAGAAATGAATGGATGCAATCCCAGGTATAAAAAACCACCCCCTTTTTTCAAATGCTAGATTGAATTCTTCTTAAATGTAGGTATACTCTGTTACTTCATATAGATTAAATCACATAGGTGTATTTCTGAGATAAATTTGTTTTGTCTTTTGACACCATCTTGGAACGTGTACATTTTTGCTTGTGTTTAGGTGCACCTTGCTGTAAATGATTTCCAACCATTTTCCATCACAGCAGTCTTGTAGCTCAATGAAATACAAAAAGCTTATTGTACTTAATGAATTTATAGGTTGAGATTTGAGACTGTCTTTCAAAATCAACTCTATTTGAGGGTTCTCTGCCCCTTTAAAAAAACTAACCCCCCCATCAAAACCCAATGTGCTAGTGTTTATTCCTAACTATCTGAGAGTGGTAAAAACTTAAACCACTCTTACTTAATCCTTGTTCATAATACTCCAGAATATTTTCTGTGAAGATTTTACCTGAAGTTTTGAGAAGATGCGTCAAACCTAGCTTTTGTAGTTCATAGATGGAAAAGTTAAACTTGAATGTAATCGGGCTTGATACAGTTAATGCTTCAAAAAGAGAATGCCTTCCCCATCCTCTTGCCCCCTTTTTCTTTCTCTTGTAGTTGACAAAAATGTTAAAAGTTAAGCGTAACGTGATCCTATCGGATCAGGCCATTAAACTGTCGCAGCACAACAATATGTGCAGTTCAGGAATGAGCTCAGGAAAGAAGGAAATGTGCTAATTGAGGTGTTTGGTCACTCTGACATCTTGGGATTTCTGCAAGTCTAAGCCATAAGTATGGTGACTCATCTGAAAAAATACTTTCATATCATATGCAAATTAGTTTCCAAGAAAGAGTATAGTTAAAAGTTATTTAAAAAATGTTAGCTTAAAAGTATATGATCTAAGTTTTCTCAGTAAACTGGACAGGAAGGTGGGTTGAGCTTCACTGATTACAAAATATATGTGTTGATGAAGAGTCTGCCATCACCCTGGGCTTAAAGACAAAGCAAGAGCTTCAAGCTTTCATTAGGCCAGGTATGTCACTTTCTTGTGAAATAGCACCATAGTCTGAAGTTCTGAGGGAACCTTCAGGAGACTCATGTTCCTTGATGAAAAGTACCAAAGTTTGTCAGAGAAATTCCCTATAAAGAGTTGATGCTAAATGCTCATTTATGTTTCTTTATGCATTGGAATGAGACAATCCTATATCACTTTGGTGGCCAAATAACCATAAATTAAAAAAAAAATCAAACAGCTTGTTTCAATGCTGTATTAATAACTGGAAAATCTCAAATCCTTTATGGTAACTCATCCTTCTTTTAGAAACTATCATATACCCTTCTAATATATGAATATGTCTGTCTTATGCAATTGCTCCAAATAAATTCAAGCTTCTATCTTCATTTTATTTTTTTCTGAGACTAAGATTGTATTGCTCTTTTCCTTTTTTTTTAGTTAGTGAAATGGTATTTCCACTTTATCAGAGAATTTCCATGTTATGTTGTTCTAGATATGAAGTCGAAGGAAAAAAAAATCTCTTCAATTACTTTTGAAGTTGTTGACTCGTATTTAAAATGTATCACTACATGTAACTTGATTTTGTTTTTTTTTTTTAAATGAAAAAAAAAACCCACCTCAAAAAGCAAGTAATGTGAAAATACCATTTTGTAATTTCTCTGAGATTATTAAAAATACCAGGCAACATATGATCTGTTCTGTACAAAAAGTCAGCACAGTTTAAGCTGTTTGCTTTTTGGTGTTTAGAGGACTTAAGAATATTAGACCTTTGTACTGTGGTACTTGACATTTTTTCCCCAAACCATCTTTTTGTGAACACATTGTGTGATCTGAGCAGTGCCACGACCCAGAAAGCATTTTGCATTGCAAGAGGCTACATCTATCAAATAAGTAATTTGGCTTGGGTCAAAAGTTGTGTTTGCATCCTCTTTAGCCCGTTCTTTTAATACATTTACAAGAATATTTGTACTACCTCTCTTGGCTTTCTTGCACTTGAGCCTTGTAGTTAAACTGTCATTCTGGAATGTAATGGGAATACTAGTGGTGTATTTAAAAACCTTGATTCAGCTAATTAAGATTTTCCTGTGTCTGTGAATTTAATCTTGTAAGGCTTATATCACATTCTCTAATTATGAACCACGTTTCTGCTTCTGAATTCCTTAAGTTGAATAAACTGTAAAAAAGCTCAAGATGAGCAGGTGCCCTCAGTTCATTTATCTTTTCTGGGGTCATGTTTTACTATTATGGAAGTCTACAAAAATGTTTTGCTTTATGAATCAGCTTCAGTTAGTGGTATTAGGAAGGACATGACTGACATCTTAGAACCATCTGAGGTGGTTTCATGAGTAGGCATGTAAGCTCAGACCATTAGGCAGTTTCTCATATTTGTTTTGGTAGTCTGCATGACTCTGTCTCTGTTTAAAGGAATGTTTCAGCAAAAATGCAGCTAGATGAAATGTGCTCAATTGAAATTAGTATTTAAACGACTGGTTTCTTTTTTAAACAAAAATTAGTCAAAGTATTATTTATGAACTTTTTTTTATGTTGCCCAGCTTGTTTTTTATTAATTTCTGTATTACAGGGTTGAATTGATGGAAAAACAGTAACAGAATTTTGACCAAGTTGTTTTCTCCACATTTATTTTCTTTCCATTTGGTTGACACAGCTGCTTTCTTTTCCTCTAGCAGGAAGACCACGAAAGTTGTGGTTCCAGTTCAACAAATCGCAGTACCACGGAAAGCATGAAATCAGCAGTAAAACCACGACGAGTTCAGCAGTCTGCTTCTCCTGACCCTGATTTGCCTCCAGGTAATCCATAATTTCAGAAGCTGGTTTCTATTTGAGTTGTAGAAAATACCTGAAGTTCATTCTAATGTCCACAGTGTTTAAGTTGGACTATTATATTTTTGTCTGCCTACAAATCAAATAAAGGTTGGTGAAGTACTTGTATCTTAGAACAATCACAAAATCACAATAAAATATGGTTTAATGCTGATAACCTTTCTTTCCATTTTATCAAATTCTTAAATTTACAAAACTCATTTACAGTGCAAGGTGGCACCATAGAATAGCTTGAGTTGGAAGGGACCTTAAAGATCATCTTGTTCCAACTCCTCAGCCATGAACAGGGTCACCTTCCGCTAGATCAGGTTGCTCAAAGCCCCGTCCTACCTGGCCTTGAACAAAATATCTGTGAGCAACCTGTTCCAGTGCCTCACCACCCTCACAGTAAAGAATTTATTCGTAACATCTAATCTAAGCCTGCCCCCTTTCAGTTTAAACTATTACCCCATGTCCTATCAGTAAGTACATGCACTTGTCAATAATTCTCCCTCTCCAGCTCTTGTAGACTCCCTTTATGTCCTGGAAGGCTGCTTTAAGGTCTCCCTGGACCCTTCTCTTTCCCAGTCTGAACAACCCAAACTCTCTCAGACTGTTTTATTCATGTTTTTTATTGAGTCCTGTATCTACTGGCAGAAATTTTCACCAATTTTTTTTCCCAGGTGTGTAATGTGAATGTGGAATTTGGATGTTGAACTTGGAGATATTTTATGATATAAAAATGTCTAAGGAATTATGTCTCTGATTTCTGTTGCCTCTGCCTTTGGATATGAGCTGTTGTTTTGTGCAGAAAAATGAAATTGGAGAGTACTGGAATGAGTTGCATTTTGCCTTCTTGGGGCATGTAATTTTAGATGAGGAAAAGACATGACATTGTATTAGGCTTTTTTGCTGTCTTTTGTTACCAGAAAATTTACACTTGACTTGAATCAAAAGACAACACTGAGATTTAGTGTGTAAAATATTATATACTACAGAGTATCATCTTGCTTTGGAATGGGTACTTGAAGAGACAGATCTGGAGGCTCTTTTAGGGCTTTAAGATCCAATAAACTCCAGTGGCTTGGAATTGCAGGATGCCATTTCCTACCATGGACAGCAGTTCAGCTCTGGCTGCTCCTTGGCATTTGGTTCTTTGGGTCACACCAGCAAACCACAGAAGTCAAAGGCTTGCCAAAAATTAGATGATTATATTACCTCCAGCGACATTTTTAGGATTTTTGTACATTACTCCCTGTCTGGCAAAGTTCTGTAAATACAGCTGGCTTTGGTTTTGTGTGGACAAATAACACTGTTTAGTACGGAGCTTATGTGGTAAAAACTCCTAAACTTCAATTTGCACATCCTGCATTTTAGTAAGATTTTGAGTCCAGTGTTCTCAGGCAGAGTTTAGCTAAAAATGTAGCTTTGGTAACAACAGACCACTGCGAAACTGAAGTTATTTAGAAGTGGCCAGTGGTGGTATCAACTCTTCAACTATAGAGCTACAATGCTTTTAGAATGTTGGATCTGAAACTGCATTTGTAGCTCTTAGTGCACAGTGCAGCCTCCTGGTTTCTGGATTATTTGGAAATAACATGCTTGTGGATTTTGTGTGGCACTTCAGAAAAGAATTTAGCCGTACAGATTATCTGGTGGTTTTAGTCACTTACTGTAGAAAACCTGTATTTTAGCAGCCAAGTTGCTCATAATCTTATTTTTAAAAATTACAAGAGTAACAAGCAACCTCTACTTGCATTTTCCCCACTTGTATTTAAAATAAAGCCCGTTAAAAAAAAAGAAACAAAACAAAAACAAAACCAAAAAACCCCCCAAATCCAACAAACTCTTTATTATACATGAGCTTGCTGATGTTTTTATTGATTTGTTTTGATAGGAAGGATTGCAATTTCTTAAAGACTGTTCCTCACTTGTGACAATATGATTCTAGTATACTTGAAGCTAAACTTAATCAGAAAGCTGGTATCTGTATAGTGCTTCTAACAGTATACTACACCACCAGTTTGTAAATATCTTCATGGACAGTTTTTAGCAAATCCATTACCCCTGTTTTATTTGGAAGATACTCCTGCTCCCTCTCTTTATGCACTTGGACAAAAGGACATTCAGGTGAAAGTGGTGTTGCATTTTTCTTGAATACCTCTGGAAACTAAAGTACAATTTGCCTTTTTTCTGTTATTTGTCTGTTATGCTGGGTTTGTAATGCTTTTGTCATTCACATCAGGAACATGCATATTAGATTGACTTTGAAAGACCCTTGAAAGCAAAATATTGAAAAAAATTGGGCCTGTGGAGGGATAACTTCAGTTTTTACAATGAAATTAGTAGCTTGCTTTAAAATAATAATTAAATAACTGGTTATAATTTTATAGTTGCTAGTTAAATAGTCTGCAAAATATTTCTATGCTGAAATTAAGAAAAGGAACTAAATGCTTTGTGCTGGCTTCTACTTATATACAGGTTGGTTTGCATCACTCTAATGATGAATATGGGTCTCTTATGCCCCTTAATTATTGAAATAATACATCTGGTTTTCTGAATTTGTATAACCTGAAAACATTATCATATACTCTAGGGTGAAAAGTAATATTTGAGTATGAAAACAGTGAAAAGCTACAAAAAGTAGAGTAGAATGGAAGTAGCAACTTGAGTCTTTTCCTACTTACCTCACAATATTTTGATGTTTGATTTAGTTTTTTATTTGAATTAAAAATGTTGATACAAATGAGTCATATTTAATGCAAGTTTCGGAAAACTACCCTGTAGATTGAGGCCTGTGAATTTAAGCCTATGTCATTAATTGGCTTTTTTCAACATAGTTACCAAATTAGAACTCTGTAGTGTGCATTAAATGTATTTTAGATGCAGGTAATGTTATAAACATAGAAATTTTAAGGCTTGCTTTTTTTCCAGCACAAATTAGTTGTCTCCACACTTAGATTCAGTATACATAAAGGACAAAAATATGGTGGCATTTATTTCTTTATGATGTTGCTAAAATATGAGTGTTTACCACACACTGTGAATTCCCAGATGAGATTATTTTTCCGATCACATTATGTCTGAAAAAATGTAAATTGCTTTGTTCCCAACAGGCTTCAGTGCAGGTGCTTACTAGTTACCTTGCTGACAGAAATTGGTTTTGATATACCTCACAGGGGTATTGCTGAACAAGATGTGGATGTATCACCTCTTAGAATGGGAAAAAGTATTAGGCATATTAATGTTTAGGCAACTTGTAAAGAACTGTGAGTGAGCTGGTAGACAAAATATGAAAAGTAACCTAGCAGCTGGTGTTCACTTTTCCAAACCTATTTCTAAATATCTTTCAAGTAAAAAAGTGATTGCCATTACAGTTCTTTGTCTACATTAACACATAGTGTTCTATTTTCTTAATCAGTTTGGAAAGTAATTAGCCTCTTATGCTCTATTGTATTCATAGTATTTATAATATTTTTTTTATATACTGTCTTGCATTTCTAGGATGCTGATGGACTTAACAGCTGCACAGAATGTTAAAGGGTTTTGTGTGATTTTTTTTTGATAAATAAAAGGCAATGTTACTTAGTTTATATAGATTTTGACTTTTTTTTTTTTAAGTGCAAGTTGAAAATAACGAATATATGGAAATAATGGAATTTATTACTAAATAAATTACTTTGGTATCATGTCTTCCTTATCACTCCCAATAATTTACTTTATTTTTTAGGTTATGTTCAGAGTTTGATTAGGCGTGTTGTAAACAATGTCAACATTGTGATCAACAATCTCATATTAAAGTATGTGGAGGATGATATTGTTCTCTCAGTCAATATAACTTCCGCAGAATGCTATACAGTGGATGAGTTTTGGGATCGAGCATTTATGGACATCTCTGGTGAGCAGATAGTTTTTATTTTTATATGTCACTGTGGAGGCACTCTTAAATTCATATAGAAATTTGCAAATCTCATAAAAATGACTCTTTATATCAGAAGTAAAATAATTTCTGCCTGTTTTCATTTCTAATCAGTTTTTCCTGTGTCCTTACCTTGATTCTGAAAAACCAGTTATGCTAATATAGATTGATTCTTAATGCATACCTGTATGATCACACATAATTACATCAGATGTGTTGCAGTCCTCTGCTCATACTTGCTGTCATTTGAGGGTATTTCATTCTGAGCTTGCTGCTGGCAGTGAGTGCACAGGCAATCAGTTTCTATTTTTGTGAAGGAGCAGTAGCATATTAGGGCATTTCATTGCCCTTTTTTGTGATGGTGTTTAAACAGGCTGGCTAAAGAGGCAGTAAAACACTCTGCACTGTAGTGAGCATGGCATACCAGTTGCAAGACATGATTCATTTCGCTTCATGTTTTCAGGGGTAAAAGAAAACAACTTCTGATTTTTGTTTCGGTCTTCAGTATTTCAATGTTTCAGTTCTTGAATTGACAACATTCACCTCTATGTCTAGCTGCTCTTGTTGACATTTGGTAGAGGTGGAATATGAGTACATTGAGAGTACTAAGATCACACAGAAGATTTCAGGTAGAGTGGGGAATGCAAATAATGTTTTCCTGGACGTATTGTTTTTGCTCTGGCTAAAATAGTTACAAATTCACATGACAAAATTACAAAATATGTTATGTGGTAAGATCACTGTAATAGCTCTTATTTGTTTTGGAAGATTCAAAAGAAAACTTTGGGGAAAACATGCAAAGTTATTTCTGGGAGAATAGTAAGAATGATATTTATTGCAGTTATGCTTCCACGTGAAACAGTACTCTTGTAGAAAGATCTAAGGTACAGTGAGAGGGTGAAAATTTTAATTGACTGTAACTAATCTGTCCTCACTTCTTATGCATTCAGCAGAAAATGTCTGTGTCACATTAATCATTATAAGCAAGTACTTTGCTGCTGATTTAAATAATGATCAAATAAGTATCTTATATTGTTTTATTTTATTTAAGAACCTGTATGTACAATTTTTCTTACGCAATATATTTTTTTAATCTATACACTTCTTTTAAAAGCCACTGATCTGGTACTGAGAAAGATGATCAACTTTTCTGACTGCACAGTATGTCTTGATAAGAGAAATGCTAGTGGTAAAATTGAATTTTACCAGGAACCTCTGCTGTACAAATGCTCCTTCAGGACTCGTCTGCATTTCACTTATGATAACCTCAACTCCAAAATGCCATCTATTATTAAAGTAGGTATCCAAAATAATGTTTCATGCTACTCACTTGTGAAGTTTTGAGATTTTTCAAAAGATACTTTGAAATTTTAAGTAATATGAAGAGCTTATGCTGTTGCTTTTTACTACAGGAATTTTTAGTTGTGTTTTGTGTATATGATGCAATTAGTTTACCTACAGTAACAGTATGTAAATAAGGAAGTTATGCTCTCTAATATTTCCTTTTATTCTTGGAGTTTGAAAAACCCGTAATTGTAAAAAGCAAAAGAAAGTCTGCGGTAATGTGGTAAAGAAAAAAACCCAGTTGCGTACTCAAAGGTGTCTGCAACAGAAAGGATTTTTTCCCTCAAGTTATTGTTTCAAGTGTAGCTCAAACTCTCATGAACAAGAAGAAACTTGAGTGTGTTAACACTGTGCAGTGAACCACGTGAAATGGATTAGCAAGTCGAACTCAGCTCCTCGTGAACAGGGGTGTGATGTTATACACAGACATCCCACACGAGGTGACATCTTTACATTTTGCAGTGCAGAAACAAAATGTTAAGCTGATGGGGAGACTAAGCTACCTTACACTCCTATTTTTTTTTTTTTCTGCTCTGAATAGTCACACATGTAAGGTTCATTTCTCCTCCTTCCCACTCTCAAGGCATATCAATGGTGCCCATTTAATTAGCTGAGAAGTTTTTAACATTAGGAAAGAGACAGTGTTAATCGAAATTATTCTCCAGGTGTATGCACTGCGAAATATTAGATTTTGAGATCAGTTTTGATGGACATTTCTCAAGAATATAATTTAGAAGTGTCACTCTTTTAGTTCATGTGATTCAGGAAGTCCTAGGTCGCTGTGAACTTGAGGCTGGGAGTTAATCTTGCCCAGTTTGCCAAAAGCCCCTTCTTCTTCTATGTGCTGTACAACTCTATACCTTTGGTTACTTTGAGCAAATTTGAAGATTTGTGAATATGATAATGACCAGATGAGTCTTTATCCAGCTAAGAATAATCACAAAATGCTGCATAAAATGCCTGGTGGTACACGTTTGCAGAAGCGTCCTTTCTTCATATGTGTATCTTAATTTATACAAAGACTGATTCTTCATACTGGGAAGAAACCTTTTTTTTTTTTTTTCTTTTGTTTTATTTACTTTCTTCTTTATTCAGAGAAATGTGTAGCGATTTTGGAATTTTGCTTATTTTGAGGTTTATAAAAAAGTAGTTGTGTATTCAGTGATAGTAGGACTTTTAACTGTGTACAACAACTTTGGAATTTGTGATCTCCCATGATAATAAGGAATCACCATATATTGTCCTGTGTGCTAAGTTTGCAAAGCAAAAGTTAATGGCCAAATTACAAGTCTCTGACAGCGCACTTTAATGTAAATGCTCACAGTCTTCCATATACTTTAAAATTACACAGTTGTAAAAATGGTGATCGTTATTATTTAATTGCTTACAATTTTTTAGTGGATATTGGACTAAAAACTAATTCTAAAATACACAGTGATGGTACTAATTTAATTAAATTTGTATTGAACTTCTTTGGTCATCTTTGTTGGTCATTTATTGCTTCTGCCCTTTTTTAAGGCACATGTCAGTTTGTTCAAAGATGTTTTAAATTTTTTTATATATATATATATACTTTGGTTTTGGTTATGATGCACATAGTTTGTTTAACATTTTTCTTTTTTCATTTGTTCTTTTTTTTCTCTTCCATTTTCTTCAATCTTTAAACATAAAAGACTGTTTATAAAAATATTCAGAAATATGCACAATGAAATAAAATATTAGACATGATGCTAGATTAATATTTAAGTGAAGTAATAATTGTTTATTGTGATCCATAGAATAGTGGTCTAAAGATAATGATTTTTAAGATCTTTATTATTTTTAAATATTTCACTGCCATTCCATTATGCAACAATTAGATCTACAAATCTGCTGACGATGCAAACTTGTGTTTGGTAACTTTCTGGATGGTTTTATTCATGGAGATTGTGCATTGTGGGTCATCAGGTTGCAGCAGTTTAAAGAGACTCTTTAAAATATTTAGCTAATCAGTGGAAATAACCTTGTTTTCTTTCAGTTGAAGCAACAGGAGCTGTTATCAGTAAATACAACAGCTTCATTAGTGGTATTAATTCAAGGACACTTAAAGCTTTGTAAAAGTCTCTGCTGTAAATGATATTACTGCAGCTTCCGTGTGTCTGAAGGGTAGGTTAGTGAAGGACAGAGGTTTGTTTCCCAGTTCAAGACAAAAGCCAGCAGCGCCCAATCTTTCTCTCCAAATCTGTGAAGATATTTATAATAAGGTATTTTATTCTATGTGTTGTTCACTTAGTAAGGATATTTGTTTTTCAGTCTTGAGAGAAAACTTCCAAGACATGTGCTCTTTTGATTTCTTTGTAGGGACTAGAACATTTTTTAACCTGCATAATTTTGATTACTATGTCCATTGCAAAGTTTTGACCAAACTAATCTTAATGATTTTTATTGGAGTTAGGACTTCTCAAAGGAGGATGGTTCTTAAGTCCTTGGGTATGTATTTGTGTGCTTTTAAAATGGGAACACTAAGCTCCTATTTTCAGTTTTAGAATGAAAATTGTGTAAGTGGGTGGAATTGACAAAACACATGTAAAATAATTAGAGTTGTAAGCTTTTTTCTGCTGTTCTTGTAAAAACCATCCTGGGATGAGGTAACTGTAAGACAGATGAGCTGATTTTCACTGGGGATGTCAGTCCTGCCTCCATCTATTTGTAGCAGCACTGACATTTGTCTGACCTGTCAGTCATCTAAGTCCACTCACAATGTTGACAGAAAGCTAACTTGACAAGAAGAAATAAATAGTTTCCTGCCAGTTTTAGGAAGATGAGTGAATCAGCTGAGGAGCAGCTGAGTTCCACTGACCATGTAAGAGCAGGATCATGATGGGAGGATTGTACCATACAAGATGTCCTGGAGTGTAATGTAATTTCAGTGAAGCTACTCTATAATTATCTTCAGTGCCTACAATGCTATCTAGTGTTCCTGTTCTTGACTATGACATATGCCCTTTGTGACTTTAAAAAGGCTTCTGGCAAAATAATCCAAATAATCCTTTTTTTTTTTTTTCCTTCCAAATCTTAAGATTGTTAATTTTTCCTTATCCTTCCTGTGTTATTCTGCACAGAAAAGGTTTGTGCACTTGCAACAGTGTTGGAAGTGGGAAAGAATCAAAATGAAGGACCTTGTATATTAAACCCAGTATATCTAGTGTTTCTTTAGCATGCAGAGATTTTTATGAAAAATGAAAATAAAAGTTCTATGAGATGCACTGAAGTCACTTAGGTTTGAGAAACGTTTTCAGCAACAATTGTAAAAAACCCAAATAAATAAATGTTTATGTGTACGTAAAATATGTTACACTTGACATTTCAACCAGAAGGTCTCTTGTGTGGCAACCCAAAGAGTGTATGTTTTTGATTGTTGATGTTTGCACCCCTTTGCCTCATGTTGTACTGCAGCTTTTGTTTTTGGAAATCAGAATGCCCGTACCAAAAGGATATGGAGTTTTATGGTTTAAAAGCCAACTTTGCTGATGACAGAGACTTGTTATTATTGTTTTTGTTCTCTTTCATATTATAGATTCACACATTAGTTGAAAGTTTGAAACTTTCAATCTCTGATCAGCAGCTTCCTATGTTTATACGTATAATGCAGCTTGGGATTGCTCTGTATTATGGAGAAATAGGCAACTTCAAAGATGGGGAAAGTGAAGATTTGATTTGCCACACTAAAGATATGTTGGGAAATATCGCAGGTAAATACAACCTCCACTTTATAAGAAGCAATGTTAAAAACATGTATTTCTTTGCTTTTTGCAATCATAAATGCCCAAGTCTAGTCCTTGTCAAGTATCTCTGCAGTTTGCAGATTGTTAGAAGCAGTTCATTGTGCTGGGTAAGTATTTAGTACTCTAACGTTCTTTCATATTAGGTTCCATAAAGAGTTCTGGTGGTCCTGACTAAACTGAGATGAAACAGGATCCAAAAAGACCATTTTGGGAGTTGTGACACAGTAGGGAACTTTGGCTTTGTCACTGTATCATGCAACAAAGCACCTGTCCATAAGCAAGCGCAAAACCGGCAGCAGCCACATTTGAACTAAATTAGAAATAAGCCAGAGTGCGTTTTGTTATCTTTCTTTGGAAATTGTTATTGACGATAGATATATCAGAACTTGTTCTAAACATCAAAGTACTGCTTTGCACTATGTTTTCAATAGTTCTGTCCATTTACATTGTCTGGTCTTGTTTGCTTTTTATTTTCATACGACATGTATTCCCTCCTCTACATGTTTCTTCATAGTGGGTGTAGTGGTTTTAATTTAGTGATAGAAGATAGGTATAGCTTCCTCCTTCTGTTTTCTATACATAGAACAACTAAACTAAAATGATGCTTATTTTAATGACTTCCAAAATAATAAAAAAATGTATAGCCCAAACTATTATCTGCCATATCTTACTGTTGCCTCTGTGCGTGCTGGAGCAAGAGGTATGCTAAATGGTGGCTTAATTTTATGGCTATGTAGACTAAATATTATGCATGACCCAGGTCCTAACCCTAAACTACTTGAGTCATCCTCCATATCAATTCTTTTTCCTTCTATATCTGACAGTTGTGCCTCTTGGCTTTTTCCAAGATTTTATGTGCACCTCTTCTGTATTTCCTGTGTTTCAAGATTTATATTTGGATTGAAATCTGATCTCTAAGACTGTTTTGTGAAGAGCACAGGAAGGAAGCTTGCATTGCCCTTGTGGGTGGAGGTGTCCTTGCCTCTAAGCATGTGCACAGAATTCTCATGAGTATTTTTATTACACTTTCTTCCATTATGCAAGTATAAATAATTACAGTAAAAGACTAAAGACTGTTTAAACTAAAGAGTGAAAGGTCTAAAATTTGTAAGAGTGGGATCTCTGAGTTTAAAAAGAAGTAAATAGAAATGGAATATGCCTATTTCTGTTCTCAGTTAAAAGGATATATTAAACATAATATTTTTCTCCTACACAAACAGTACTGCATCCTGTACTAACTATAGTAATTCTGAAGTAGTTAATAACCTTTGAGAGTCCCATAAGAGTGGTGATGAAACCAAATAGAAGATAATTATGCTCTTAGTACATGCAGTATTATCCATCTGGACCATGAGTCTTAGACTTGAATCCTTGGGGAAGTCTTTGTTTTGCTTTGTGTGCTATCTCTAATTTTTTTCAGAGAAGAATTAACATTTAGACTTTTGACTCATAGATGTCATACCAGCTTTTCTGAGCATAGTTAAACCTGTATCTTTGGATACTTGAAAAACTGAGTTAAACAAAGAAGGTTTTCGGCCTTAAATTTTGGATGTTAATTTTTGTGCTGTGTTTACATTTTTCTCATTATCACTGTTGCAATTGAGGTCCTTTTTTTTTTCATTTTAAAATTGGTAACAACGAGATTGTAACGCGGCATAATTTATGTAAAATGTAATTTAATTAATTTTTTAATTTAATTAATTAAAGTAAGGTTTAATTTGCAACTTTAGAAGGTCTTTAATGGAAGAAATCTTGAAAGCTTGTGGTATAGATGAAAAATTCTGGCCTCACTGCAAGTATACTAAAACTATTGCAAGGATTCTTAATATTATTTTGGAGGAAAATGTTAATGAAACAAACAAGTGTTTGGAGACTTATATTCAGTAATTTAAAACTTCTACTTGTTTTCAGTCATGATAAACCAAGTATCAGTGAATGTTGTGTGTAATACTGTCCTAGATAAATTTTGCATACTAAGACTTTGAACTTAATAAATAAACTTTCAAGCTTGGTTGCTCTGAAATTTAAATTGTTTTTTGTTTCAAAGGTAAAGAAGATGAAACAAGCTCAGTAATGCAATATCCGACACAGTATCAAGATCCTTATTTGCATCAAGACGATGACCAGCAACAGGGATGGGTATCTTGGGCTTGGTCGTTTGTCCCTGCCATTGTGAGTTACGATGATGAAGAGAATGATTCTAGTGGAATTGATGATGGAACAATGTTACATCAGCAGAAATCTCAGTCCCTAAAGGATCCTATTATTTCCGTTGGGTTTTACTGTACGAAGGCAACAGTGACTTTTAAGGTAAGTATTCCTCTGTTTCATAAAGGATTTATTTGGCTTGTTGAGGAAGTGCACAGAGATTACCTTTGCATACTGTTTGATTGGAGATGGGTAATGGTACATTAATGAATAACATGGAAAGTGAATGCTGAATGTTCCTCTTCCATCATACTGTACTGATAATTGCAATGTGAGCTGGTTTTGCCATTTCAGCCAACTTTATAATCTTAAAGGGAAACAATTTAGATTTATATTCTTTGATGGGAGAAGAATCTTAAAGGCTTTCTATGAATGTTTATTGAAGTATTCTATCCATATAATGTGTAATATTTCTTTATAAAAAAGCTTTAGCTTCACAGAGATTGTGAATTTGAGGATTTGTTTAGACTGCTCTTTTTTTAGACTATTGTAAGTAAAAGTATGATTTTAGCTTGATAATGTTGAAATTATTTTCCATTTGTTGAAATTGAAAGCATAAATAGTATGTATACTTAGAGTTATAGACTATGTATGTAGAGAAAGATTTAAGTATTTTTTTGTAAACAAATCTCAAAGAGGTTGCTGGCCTTCTCTCTATTCTTTTGTAAACTTGCAGAAGGGAATATGGAGTCTGAATAAGATACTGAGATGTACTGACAGAAATTAAGGTTCTGAATTAATGAAATACTTTCTTTTTAACATGTGCCAAACTATATGCAAGCAATTTTATGTGCATAACTACACAAAGTGGCTCTTGGCTTTACAATTAAACATGTATTAAATCAAGGCCAGAAAACTCTGCCACAGAGTAGCTAAGGCTGATTTTTATGACTTTGAGCCTTTCAGATGAACTGCAATACTTTTGTAACTCTCGTACAACATTTATGTGCCTGACTGTACACCTAATACCATCAGCAGCTCCCTGAACCTTTATTGCCTGTTTGGCTTGTCATCTGTGCACAAGAGTGTTGTGAGGGGCTTTATGCTTAATTTCTCTTAGCTGTTTTTGATTGGTGGCATAGCAGGGCATTGAGCTGCTTGGCAACTGCCAGAAAGGATGAGACAAATGACTTTGGAAGCTGTAGGCTTTCTGTGGGAAGGTTAATGCTTTAAGCCTTCAGCCTCCTGGCAAATTTGGTTGCAAAATTTGAGGATATCAGCAAACGTTATCATGTTCTTTTGTGTCAATCAGCTTCAGTCTTCATTAAAAAAGGCTGAAAATAAATAATAGAGAATCTTTTCTTCCTCCATTAATTATATCTCTGGGACACTTAAACCCAAACAAACTACCAGGAATCAAATTTCTCATTTTTAATGGCTCAACATCTTGTTTTGCACTTTGTCATACAGTCGTAATTTTATGCTCTTTCCTTGTGTGAGAAAAATCATTAAAAATAATATGAACTTCTTTTTCGAACATACTTTGCTTGGGGGCTTTCCTAATGCTTCTTTGGCAACTTCAGGCGTTTTATATTGGGAAGTGATTAAAAACTTCTTACAATGTAACATCTTACATTCTATAAATTTTAAATGTGAAATGATGTATGATATTAATATGGTGACAGTTAGGAGGAAAACAGAATTCATTGTTCTGCTTGCATGCAAAGAATGTATGGAATTAATTTGTGGTTCATATTTTGGTTAAAAAATAAGGTCAAGTTTCTGCATTAGCATTCTGAACAGTTGATATCATTCCAGCTAAAAATCATGCCAAATTAAATGTAGCATTTTCTAATAATGGTGAAAATTATTCTTGTAATGTCTGAGTTCTTTTAATCAATTAATTGCTTTTCCTCTACTATAATTGCACACAGGTGAAGGGTGATCAGTGATTTTTTCATCCAATTTTCTTGGACATTTGGATTGCAAAATTTTAATTTGAAACAACATCCATGTGTATCCACTGTTGAAAAAAATGAGAGCCTGTGGATATTTTCATATAAAAATTAGAATTTGAACTAGTTAAGCTGTTCAATGTAAGCTGTTTTTTTCATGCAAAATATAACATTTTCATTACTTTGTACCTCTTTTCTTCTTTTTCTTAGCTGTAGGTTATGTGCTTTTTTTAACCTGTGTTTTACCGTTTTGACTTTTTATATGGAAGTCATTCAAGAAATATAAATGCATGTTACTCTCAGTTGCTATGACAAGAAACAAAAATGAGTATGGTTGTAATCAAAATGTTTTCATAATATTACCATGCTGTTTAGTTATTTCTGGGAAGAATTAATAATGTATTTATGCATTTTTACAACTGTTTATGAACTAATTTATTCTATTAATAATGCAGCTGTGTATTTCTTTCATCTTTTTACATAGTTTCTCTTTAGATAAGGAAACTGAAAATACTGTAGTGGAATTTAGACATTCTGTTATGGCATATTTCAACCAGAAGTTGAATATGAGAAGTTCCAATATGGATAATGTGTAACAGCTGTTTAATTGCACCTGTTTCCTGCCTGTTAATAGGTTTTGGCTCATAGTTTAATTTGTCTTCATCAATTCTGTATATTAATGACATTACTGCTGTTTAATACTAATATTGACTTTTATAAGGTGTTTATCCTATTGTTTCATAGCTCACTGAAATGCAAGCTGAAAGTAGTTATTACAGTCCTCAGAAAGTAAAATCCAAAGAAGTTATATGCTGGGAACAAGAAGGAACAACAGTTGAGGTAATGTTCCTTTGACTGGGCTTTTTTGATTTATCATAAGTAATTTAGCAAATAGTTTCCAATAAAATGTTTTTAAATTATTTTGTTGCAGAGTTGTCATATTCTGTCATATTGGATGTGTTTGTTGTAATAATCATGTACATATAAATTCTCTAAATTTCTAGAGCTGTGGTGATACTAAAGTAATCTCTTCCTTTGAAGTACCCTGTGTGATTGCTGTTTATTAAAGCTCTAAATACATAAACCTAAACATATTTTGGCTCACTTTTGCCCACATTTTCTATTTCTTACGGAGTAGAAGTCTTAAAAATACCACTTTTTTTTCCTCACTAGGTCCTTATGAAAGGTGAACTTTTCTTTGATTGCCAAATTGGTTTTGTTGGTTGCCAAGCTATGTGCCTTAAAGGAATTATGGGAATTAAAGATTTTGAAGAGAACATGAATCGGAGTGATGAAGTGAGTATGTTGAAATATGAGCTGACTTGCTCAATTAGCAATTCTGTTATGGTTTATTGATTGCAAAAATTGAAAAGACTTCTATTACCAATTGTGATTTAAGTTTTTGAATGTTACTGGTATATAGGACTCAGTTCCATTCCTCAGACTTGAGAAGACAAATATTTCAGAATGAGAAGGGGCAAAAGAAGACCTTTTTCTTTGATAATAGCCCATTATTGTCTATGTGTGCACACTCTGATTTTGTATAACAAATACAAACAGTTGAAAATCTTTGAAAGTGCTTAAATGAACAGAAGGTTGGAAGGGAACAAATGGGAACACTGTATGCTGAAGATAGTAGAAGTGTGGTACAAATATCAAATGAGTATTTACCTCATTTTTCAAGAAGGTTAAGAGAAGTTTTAAATTAAGGAGTTAAATGGTATTAATTTCTATATTTTAAATAGAAGCAAATCTTCAATTGCTTAAGACAAAATTAAGTATCTATATGGAGTACTTTTAAAATATTTAATGAACTGGTGCATTAAATTTTAAATTTGATAATGATTTTTGGTTGAACTGTAGATAGAATAGTGTCCCAAGGTACTGGAGAACAGCAATTATTGTCATTTTTTAAATAAAAAAAAAAAAAAAACGCAACCAAGAGCAGACCTATTAACTTGATGTTAGTGTTCTGTGAAGTCTTGGGATGTATTTTAAGGAGAAAAATTAAGAATATGAAAGAAAATACAAAATTATTATATTTATGTCAAATATCTGCTAATCTGGAAAATCATACACTGTACTGTGATAGGTACGATGGGACAGATTCTTATCCTTGACCTGTGAGAGAAGCATGGCTTGACATCCATCTCAGGTGTTTATGTATGCAGCAGAGAAAACAAAAAAAGATCTAGATATTGTTACCCAGCTTCAGATTACGATACGGGATTTTAGAGATGCAGTGGGACACACTACATGACTGGTGTGCTGCAGTGGATAGAAATGGGCTTTTCCAGAAAGAGAGGCTGTAAAACTGTAAAAATGCTCCATTGGCCTTGTTAAGTACAAGGGAGATGTGACTGGGGATGTGAGTGTGGGTAGCAGCCTTGTCCGCAGCAACTATGAGGTTGTCATCTATAAAATCATTTTTATTGATTTGAAAATGGGGAGGGAGTGGACAGGAACTTCAGTGTTACTTCAGTGAAAATAATTTAATTCGTACTGAAATATACTCTTGAGGGCTGCTGCTGTGCATGTGTTATTTGTGTGTTATGACAATTGAAACTTCTGTTAACTTCACTATGTTTGTTTTTTGTTTTTCCTCCCCTGCCATATTATTTTGTACTACCTCATGAAGGAGGCCTACTTCTTTAATTGTGGAGAAAATTTGAGTGCGAAAGGGATGACATATCTTACCAATTCACTGTTTGATTACCGAAGTCCAGAAAATAATAGTATTCGGGCAGAATTTATATTGGATGCAGCTCATCATAAGGTCAGAGAATCACATTTTTCTTGGAAAAAATTCCGATGCTGTGTAATGGATTTTTAATAATTATTCAGATCTATATGTACTACTAGAGGACTGGTATTTCATTACTTTTTCACATTTAACTGAATCTTACATTGCAGCTGGCAAAAAAAAGTAAATCTGTTTGTGTTAAAAAAAAAGACACCCACAAAAACCGAGCCAAAAAAAAACCAAACTGAAAAAACTTATCCAAAAGAAACCTCAAATCCCCTTCTTCTCCTCCGAAAACTGAATTAATGCCATAATTTCCAAAAGCACTAACCACAGAACACTTTGAGAGTAATAGGTATGAAAGAATGCTAGCAAAAGCTTTACTAGCACATACTTTAAACCCAAACAGTAAGTGGTCCATGGTCTTCAAACTAAGAAGTGCTTTCTTTGAAACCAGATTTGGGCAGTGCTAATTTTATTGTTTGTGTCCAATGTTTGTCTACTTAGAGAAAATTTTACTAATCCTACCTTTTTTGGAGACAAAGTTTCAATCACCGAAAGTGTCTGTTTTTGTAAATTGTGCAGTAAAACTTTATTACCTGATTAGCTGTGATTATTAAAAACTGGATGTAATGACCAAGGTGGTTCTTTCCAGTTGTGTTCATAGGTGGAGTTCCGTGTTCTATTTAATGTACAGACAATTCATTTACAATTTGGAATGTATCTAATTTCTTTTAAATATGAATTTTACTATTGTCACCTTTTTAGTACCACAGATGAAGTGTAACCTTGAAGAATCCCGTAAAAATAAAATCAGTAAAATCACAAGTACTTGCATTCAAACTATTCCCATATAGTGTTTTAGTTTTAAGCTTTACTCTATACTTGGTCTGTCTTCAATGCTTTTACGATTTGCCTATTTTTTTGGCTAGAGGCAAAGCAAGTTTGCTATGTAATGGATTATATTATGTATAAATCCCAGGGATGGCATAAAGTCTTAATACGTTTCCTACTGTTTAAAGACAAAACCACAATGTTCCTTGAATAACAAAGCCAGATTGAATGAGCTTAAGTTTTCAGTGTACTTAATTAGGTAGATCTGTTGTATGCAAGAGGTCAAGTGAAGAATATTTACTCCATTTAAGGTACTAATTGACTAGATGCTATTGATGAATTGGTCAGCATGTCCACTGGAATTATGGATGTGCATTTGTGTGGCCTCAAATAGAAGTTACATTACCTATCAGAAAGGTGAATTCTTTGGGATAACCTCTGTCCTTTGTTTTGATAAGCCTTTCCGTGTGTTGATGCACAAATCCAAACATGAATATATCTCTCTAATACCAGTCTATCAGTTGGTAATCTCAAGATTCTTTCCTTCTACAACATTTTCTTTGTTTGCTTTGCTGTGTTGGTAGGAGACGTACACAGAGATAGCTGGAATGCAGAGGTTTGGGGCTTTCTACATGGATTACTTGTACACAATGGAAAGCACCAGTGGCAAAGGTACCTTTTATTCTTTGTTTACCCTGATAAATAATAGAAACAAAGACTTTTCATGCCTAGATGGTCCTTGACCAACTGTCCTCTAACTTATCTTAGATTTCCCATCAAGATCATCATTAAAACGCTTTCATCTTTGTTTGTTCAATGATGTCTTTGAGGTTAGCTATTTTGGTTAGCTGTTGATTGTCAGTGTTGTTCTGTTTTTTTTTTTCCTGCATAAGTAATCACAATGATATTTTTGTAGCCAGTTGCTAAACTGAAAGGAATTAGCTTCTAGCAGGGGTGAAGTTCATAAAGTATGATAACGTTTTTTAAAGCTGTCGTTATTGACTTTGCATGTAAAAAAAATGTTTTGAGAAACCCTAGTTGAAGAATGAGGTTGATTGTGCAGTTGCTGCAGAAGATGAAAATGACTGTGGTTTTTCTCCTATGAAATAAAATGCAAGGATGCAAGATAGTGTGGAGTCTTAATCTTGAAATATATGCATCTGAACAATTCTGTGAACAAATAAACCATGTGCACATAGATATTGGCCAATTTTAAGTAATCTTTGAGATTCCTGTCAATTCTTTTCTAAGCCTGAGAAGTGAATTCAGTACAGCAAGTGTATCTACTACTGGGAGTGTAACAAAAGCTGGGACAAAGGAGTTAATCTATCAGTAAGAAATATATATGCATTTTTACACATGTATTCTTATAATTAATTGCAATGTGATTTCCCCCCCCAGTTCTTGTAAGACTGTCATCTACAGCTGCTGCTCTGCAGTTTCATTGTCAAGTTAATAGAGTTTTCTTCTCTACTTGTTTATTTATTATCGTGAATACTATTTCTCTGAACATCTGTTGGAACTTCTTGCTGTTTTGTGACCGAACATTCATCTGTGCTTGCTACCTAATCCAACTCATCTGGGTTTTTTTCTCGTACGTTTGTTGGTTTTTGTTTGTTTTTGTTTGGTTGGGTTTGTTTGTTTTGTTTTGTTGTTGTTGTTGTCATTGTTTGGGGGTGTGTGTGTGTTTGTTGTTTTTCTTTCTATGTAAAAGAAGTCAGAACTCTTAATGTTTGCTTTTGTTTTCTGGACTTGCTGGGCATTAAGAAAAAAAGGAGTAGGAAAGAAACTTCCAGTTTCCTTAGAGGATGGATCATGCAAAACTTAAAAAAAGGAAATAAATAACGCTATTGGCTTTGGTAGTAGAGGAATACACTAGGAAATTTAACAATTCTTTCTCAGTTCTGTACTATGAGTGTGGTATGAAGCTGAAAAAATGTACAATTAAGTCACAATTCTACTGCAGTCTACTTATGGTTTTAATAGAGATAAATATTTCGTTTTGTGTTGAACTCTTATGTAGAGAAGCTGAAAATCTTGGGTAAGCCTTATCTCCTTTTTGAATCTTACTATAGAAAATTGAATATGCAAAGACCATTTGATTATGAAGAAAAATTGATTTTGTGGAATATTTTGTCGTGTTTCTCTGAATGCACAAGGAATGCAATGATCATATCTTTTTCTGACTTTTAACTAGCCCTTTTCTGGAATCACTGAACTCAGGAACAAAATTATTTTCCTCAATGCCAGGCTACTGGTATATTCTGACTACATTTTTTTTTTCCTCCTTAGCTTCTCTTCTTTTTCTTCCGGTTTGCTTTCTCAGAGCCATAGCTTCTGTTTTCTCCATCCAGGAAAACACAAAATGTAGCTTGGCTTCCTATCAAGCTGTGAGCTTTCATTTCGGTATTGCTCCTTTAATTTCAGCTACCTGGCTGCATAGAAGAAGGGAATGTATAAGTTTTAAATTGTGTAAATAGTTGTTGTTTCTCTAAATCAGGAACTTAAAACTTTAAGTTTTCAAATAGTTTTGTTCCTCAGAAAAGCAAATGTGATGTTTTCTGCTAGTTATTTTCTAGTTTATTTTTCCATACTGTGGGTTAAGCGTATAGTTATTAAATAACACATAAAAAATAGGTGTACATAATTTCTTTAAAATGAAGATATAAATGCCTCAAGATTCTGAAAACAGTATAAACCTACTGCACTTTTAATATGTGTTGTTTATATGAAAATTTAAATTTTACTTTCTTATTTTGATATTAACTGTGTTTTTAGTTACAATCAGTGCATTCCACATTCCATAAAATACCCTAACCCAACTTAAGTTATAGGAGGCAGTTACTGTGATTGTAAGATTTTTATCTGTCAAGGCAATTTTGGTTTGACACATTCTTTGCACCTTTAACCTTTCCTGAAGCATAGAATTACTGATTAAACCACAAGTGCCTCCTGGATAACATTAACCTCAGGAGTTTCATCTGTCACTTACAGAAGTGCATTAATCAATTTCAGTATTTTGAATGAAAACGAGATAGTCATGCACAGTAGTTTTATTTTGAAATGCTGCCTGTCCTCCCCTTCCTGTATTTTTCTGGGTTTTGGCTTCATATTTCAATGCAAAACATTTTCCCTGAAATGTTATGTAGCCTGTCAGTTCCCTGACTGCTGATTTGCATGACCTACAGACCTAGCAGGGTGTACTTTTGGAGTTCCATTTTGTTTGTAATGTGTACTTACCTTGGTGGCAAGTTTATTACTCAGCACTCATTTTGGTATTTTTTGTCAGTTAGAATTAGACACAAAGGTTTACAGAGAGCTTGAATACTCAGTGATCAAAAACTGCATCTGTGAAGTTTCAAGTCACCCGTGATCACCTAGTTCAGTAGAACCAATAGGTTTTCTATCACATTCTCATTGCACTTAGAATTAAATGGAACTGTTCCAGGTTTGTATACATTCTGTCACTTTAATATATTATTCATATACAAAAGATATATACAAGCAAGGGTAAGTCTGGGAAAAGGTAGGCTGTTACTACTTCTGGCCTTATTATTTTTGGCCTTTTTATTTTTATGTGATGTTATGGCTTTTTGCCCTTTTTAGTAGTGTTCATCTGAACTGAATACTCTGTAGAACTGGAACGATAAAAGTATGCGTGTTAACTGCCTGTAAAATAAATGCAGAAGGCTATATGCTGGCGTTTTAAAAAAAAATCCTTTTCAGGATTTATTAAAAAGGTCATAACTCAATTCCAGCTGATGATTTGAATAGGTTTTATAAGATAGAATCTTTCTGTCCTTTTATCTTTCTTTTATTGTTCTTTTTCCTCTGAGAAAAACAACACGCCAAGGGAAGCAGAGGCTAAAAATGCTCTTGCTGTCAACTTCTGTTGGGTTTTTAAGGATAAAGTTAATTCTTTTGCTGAGTGTATAAGCCTGTAAAGGCCTGCAGAGCATTAGACCAACTGTGTCAAATTGGGCATAGTCTTGGTTTGTTTGAGGACCTTTCTTCTGTTCTACTTAGAAGCATCAACATTTTATTATTTAAACACAAGGGGGAAAAAAACCCCTATCCTTTATTCCTTTCCCCCAAACTCACTTTCCCCAGTAGAAAGACTGTTTTGAGTGAGTATGGTAAAGGAGAGAGGCAAAAGGGAATGTTACTCTGGAACGTAAAAGACTGGGTTCCTCTCAGGCAACCAGAAATCATAGAATTGTTAAGGTTGGAAAAGAACAGTTATTGAGTCCAACCATTAACCTAGCACTGTCATGTTCACCACTAAACCATCTTCCCAAATGCCATATTTATATCTTTTTTGAACACTTACATGCATGGTGATTATAATACTTCCCTTAGACAGCTTGTTCCTATGCTTGTGGCAAATTTCAGTAAAGAAATTTTTCCCAGTATCCAATCTAAACCTTCACGGGTGCAACTTGAGGCTGTTTCCTCTCATCCTATTACTTCTTACTTGGGAAAAGAGACTGACTCCCACCCCCTTGCTGCAACATCCTTGCAGCTAATTGTAGTGAGCAATAAAGTCTCCCCTGAGACTCTGCCTTGTCTCCAGGCTAAACAACCCCAGGTCCCTCAGTTGCTCATCTTAAGACTTGTGCTCCAGACCTTTCACCAGTTCTGTGGTCTCAGAATCCATTGAATCTTGATGCTTGTATTGTCAGGCTGACTGTTCATTTATGTAATAATCAGTGAGACATTTAATGTTTAGTGCATGTGTCAAAGCAACGAAGACACTGTCAAAGTGATGGTTTATTAGGAAAAAAAACCAATCCTGCAGTTCTGCATACTAAATGTATTAGAGGCATGAGTCATATATAACAGGAAAACTTGAGCTTCTGAAATTTGCATAATTCAACTGAAGAATTTCTGTGAAGTATGTTTAGAGAAACAGTCATGATGTTTGGTAACTGATGAGTAGCCTCTATACAGTGAATGCATGGTTTTGGTCTACCTTATTACCTGACCTTACTAAACCGCTCTTTTATCTCTGTGTTGGTTCTTCTGAAAACAGCCCAAGACCTAATGATAAAGAAGTTTTCTTTCTCACTGCCCATGCAATAGAGAGTTGAGGTAAATCTGAATGGAAGGAAGGGTTTATCTTAGTTGTCAGTCTGGTTTATGACAGTACAAGTGAGTGTGATTCTCATGGCTCTGTACAGGCAGCTCACTTTTCAAGGGCCCAGGTCTGTAATTTTGCAGCACACTTTTTTCTTGATTGTTGGGGGTGGATATCTGTGACAAGCTGTAGAAAGTTTTGAACAGCACAGCTGTCATTGGCACCTGGGGTTAAATTGCCACAGAAGTTGAGATACCTCCAGAGAATACTGAACTTCAGAAATAAAAAGTTCATGGAAGAGTTCCTAAGTTGTACTCTGCTTGGAGGCAAGGCAAAAATTTGCCCTGTATGCTCTGCATTAAACAGAAAGTCATAGTGTCTTTCTGTGTTCTGTTTGCATTGTTATATTTTTATATATATTTATAAGTCTGTGATCATAGGATTTGAAACAGAAGTAGCTAATAAATTTTATTATGTCCAATTGTTTGATGTGATTTGTTTTTTCTAAAACTTCTTGTAGTCTCTGGGAATCAGCAAGATCTTTCTTCAGTGAAGAGTGAAGATTTTGGAAATGTTCAGGAGATGTCCACAAAAAGCCTCATTGTGGGCCCACTCAATCTTCGCCTGGATAGCAGCGCAGTACACCGGATAATGAAAATGATAGTCTGTGCTCTGGAACATGAGTATGAGCCATACAGCAAAACTAAGCCAGGTTTGCTCTATTTCATATACACAAATGTACAGAATTAAACCAGACCAAATTTAGTGCTCTTGAAAGTGCAGCTTCCAAAAAGCTAAAACCTCATAGGGGATTTTGTGAGTCCAAGGAGCAAAAGGTAAAATAAAGATAAAATTAACTGTAGTGTTCCCATCTGTGTTTTATATACTTCTGAGATAATTTCAGACACTTTGGGAGCCATTTGTTTTAATCATAAGACTCTTGTTGAGTAAGAAGGACTTATTTCATTGACTACTCTAGCTTAATTTTGGAGTCTTAGAGAAGAAAGTATCCTTGTTGGTATTTATTAGTTTGAAATAATAGTTATACAAGGTGAAAATGCATGGAAACAAATTATGGTAAACAGTTAAGATGAGTTTCTGAGGAAGAGCAATACAGATTTCAAAGTCAGGAAAATCCAGTTAGTATTGCATTTAGCCTTGGGTAGAACCAGCGTGGAATAACATTATTAACTATGAGGTGGAGGGAGAAGCTTTGCTTTTTTTGCTAGTCCCTAATTGTTTCTGAAACAGCAACCGTAGAACACATTTTATATATTTTAGTGAAACATATGTAATCTTGATTTATTGTAGATAGTACAGATGGAAACAGAACTGTGCCAAGCTCAGAAGAAATAGCATCACTAGAGGAATACATTCCCACTCGACTTACAACATTCACTGTTCTCAAGTGTACAATTATAATCCCTGTGGCAGAATTCAATTTACTAGACCACTTGCTCCCCATAATCATGGGTGAGAAGGTATGTATGCACAGATAATTATTCAGTTCTTTATATTGGCATGTGCTATTCCATATAAATTTTCTTATTGGTCTGTTGTTCCATGTGCTGGATACATTGCTGAATTCTGAATTGGTTTGGTGCCCCTGAGCCTTAGTTCACCTAAGACAAGTGATGTGTGACTATTTAGACTTAGAAACTGAAGGTGTCTTGTACTTATAAGAAAAAATAACTGTGAAGAAAAAAGATTTTAAAGCATCAAGCAGATGAAAAAGTAGTAGCTCTGAAAAAGTAGTAGCTCCTTTGATCAGAAGAGTACCTGTTGTGCAGGTCTTCTCAGACTTGGTAGAGTCTGAAATCTTTTAATAAAGAGGCTCAGTAGAGACTACACAGATGTTAACAGCCAGCTGTGTGTGTGCTAGTTCCAGGCAGGATGTGAGCAGGATGTGGGCTGTTACTGAGAATTTAACTGCTGAAGGACTTGCTCAGAGACAGAAATTTCCTAACAGCCCTAATTTGTTTTATCTTCTGGATATGTGTAGTATAACACCAGCTAAAGAATCTGGTTTTATTCCTATAGGATTCCTTCCTCAGTGCACAATATTGAGGTACTGTAGGGATGAATCTGTGTTTGGTAGTGAAGATTTGCAGTAGGTTTATCTCTATTGGCTGAGGCTGGAAGGTATTCTATGGATAAGGGAAGGAATAGAAGAAAAGAAAAAACAATCAATTTTTGATTTAATTAAATTTCTGTAACTTCTATCTGATATTTCATCTGATAGGCTGAGAAAGCTTGCTTTGCTCAGAGTGGAGAAGAAAATGCTTCAAGGAGCCGTCACTGTGGCCTTTCAGTACCTAAAGGGAGCTTATAAAAAGGAGGGAGAGAGTTTTTATACAGGTAGATAGTGACAGGACAAGGAACAATGGTTTTAAACTAAGAGAGAACAGATTTAGATTGGATGTTAAGAAGGAGTTCTTTACTCAGAGGGTGATGAAGCACTGGAACAGGTTGCCCAGAGAGGTTAGGATTTTTTAGTGCATTGCACTGTAGTGGTGCTTTTCACATTATGGGCATGGGAAGATGGTATTTTTATAATGGGAGAACAGTCCCATGTTTGTTGTA